ACCCGGTTTAGCCAGCGACGAGTAATAACCCGGTTTAGCCAGCGACGAGTAATAACCCGGTTTAGCCAGCGACGAGTAATAACCCGGTTTAGCCAGCGACGAGTAATAACCCGGTTTAGCCAGCGACGAGTAATAACCCGGTTTAGCCAGCGACGAGTAATAACCCGGTTTAGCCAGCGACGAGTAATAACCCGGTTTAGCCAGCGACGAGTAATAGCCCGGTTTAGCCAGCGACGAGTAATAGCCCGGTTTAGCCAGCGACGAGTAATAACCCGGTTTAGCCAGCGACGAGTAATAGCCCGGTTTAGCCAGCGACGAGTAATAACCCGGTTTAGCCAGCGACGAGTAATAACCCGGTTTAGCCAGCGACGAGTAATAGCCCGGTTTAGCCAGCGACGAGTAATAACCCGGTTTAGCCAGCGACGAGTAATAACCCGGTTTAGCCAGCGACGAGTAATAACCCGGTTTAGCCAGCGACGAGTAATAACCCGGTTTAGCCAGCGACGAGTAATAACCCGGTTTAGCCAGCGACGAGTAATAACCCGGTTTAGCCAGCGACGAGTAATAACCCGGTTTAGCCAGCGACGAGTAATAACCCGGTTTAGCCAGCGACGAGTAATAACCCGGTTTAGCCAGCGACGAGTAATAACCCGGTTTAGCCAGCGACGAGTAATAACCCGGTTTAGCCAGCGACGAGTAATAACCCGGTTTAGCCAGCGACGAGTAATAACCCGGTTTAGCCAGCGACGAGTAATAACCCGGTTTAGCCAGCGACGAGTAATAACCCGGTTTAGCCAGCGACGAGTAGTAGCCCGGTTTAGCCAGCGACGAGTAATAGCCCGGTTTAGCCAGCGACGAGTAATAACCCGGTTTAGCCAGCGACGAGTAATAGCCCGGTTTAGCCAGCGACGAGTAATAGCCCGGTTTAGCCAGCGACGAGTAATAACCCGGTTTAGCCATCGACGAGTAATAACCCGGTTTAGCCAGCGACGAGTAATAACCCGGTTTAGCCAGCGACGAGTAATAACCCGGTTTAGCCAGCGACGAGTAATAGCCCGGTTTAGCCAGCGACGAGTAATAGCCCGGTTTAGCCAGCGACGAGTAATAACCCGGTTTAGCCAGCGACGAGTAATAGCCCGGTTTAGCCAGCGACGAGTAATAACCCGGTTTAGCCAGCGACGAGTAATAACCCGGTTTAGCCAGCGACGAGTAATAGCCCGGTTTAGCCAGCGACGAGTAATAACCCGGTTTAGCCAGTGACGAGTAATAACCCGGTTTAGCCAGCGACGAGTTATAAAAATACTTAGTAGCACTCCCTAATAGAAACTCACCCAGCTTGTGAAAATCCACAGCATGATCATGGCAAAAACTCGGATTACGCGCACGCTTTCCTTCTCTGTACGTAGTATGAACACGCACCTGAACACGTCATGTCAGGACCTGCGCAGGCGTAACCGATCCGGTTGGTCGGGCCATGGCTGCTGGACCAGCGTTTTTGGCCACCCGAACACGCGTTTACTGCTGAGGATGTCATATGCATACCTGCCCTATCATACAATAACTGTATGAAAGGCTAGGGTATGGCCACATCAAGAGTACATAAACCCCCAGAGTGTGCAACACCTGATCCAGGTCTGCATAGGGTCTTGGTCGAGCGGAATCGGATCTTTGCGTCACAATACCGTACACATCCGAGGGAAACACGGGGAGCCGCGGGTACTCTCGGATCAAAAACAACGGTGCCATGCCTTGAGACCGGCCTTGCGCTGGTGTGGAGTGTACGCATGACATCAGAAGATCCGATTACGCTCGACCAAGACCCTATGCAGAGCTGGATCAGGCGTTGCACACTCTGGGGGGTTATGTACTCTTGGCCGCACCAATCAAAAATTGCTTCCTTCGGTTCCGGACGTGAGTTTTCGTCGTCAGAGACCCCATAATTATGCAGAGTTGTACACTCTTGGAAGCTTACATGTATTTACTCTTGTTGATAATGTTATTCCTAACTTATGGACTCTGACTAGCATCACGTAAGAATACCATGTACAGGTTTGTGAGCTACGCTATAGCTAGCTACATGTAGCTGTGCACACACTAGAGCTCTGTGTCCACACTCACGTGCATCACACAACTTCTGAGACTCACTTTTTTTGAATGCGTGCTGGACATCGTGCCGCCGTGGAAATCGCCTCTTTCCAACACTTGGACAAAGGATGGCCAAAGGAATGACCTTGAACTTCCCAGAAGCTAGAGACCAGTGGTGGCAGGGACCCCCCAGTTCTCCCTGGCCAAGACAAGACCTAAGCCCGACAGGGTGTTACCCCGGTCAGTGGCGGTCATCGAACCGAGCCCTGATTTTCAAACATCGTCCTCGACAACTGCCAGAACATCTTCAGCCTCGTCCACAGGGCTCAAACGCCTAGGCTCTGCTAAATCTTTAATGTGGGGAAGAAGCACAGCACTCCACGGCCACAGGTGTTGAACTATTAGTTTACTTGAGTTATGATGAGGGGTGTGCGTGTGGGTAATTTTTTTTAGGAATTAATTTGATCACTCATCGGCTGCATGCCATGCATGCATATGCACTGAGCTGCATGCGCATACATTATACATTATTGTAGTTTTGCATTGAACAAAGAAAAAAGAGACTGAGCTGATCTCCGAGCAAAGACAGGCCAGGCGGTTGTCATGTCAGTGAACCAGTGCCTTCAACCAGGCTTTCACTCTTCTCGGCCCGGCGCCCCTGGCCTGGCCTCTGGTGCAGGGAGTAGTAAAATCACGGTATTTTACTACTCCCTAGTATGTTTTTCGATTTTGACAGCATACAAGGCGAGGACGCGTAGTGCTCCTGACTACAACCCGGGAATCTGCCAACCGGGTTATGGTTGTAGTCAGGAGTACGCGTCCTCGACTTGTACAAAATCGAAAAACATAGTACAGTACATGTAGAGGGGACGGTTTCAAATAGGACACAGGTTGCAAACCGGAACGGACTCAATATTCACTTTCTCTCTTGGTATTTTGATTGGAAAACATATCTCACAGTGAGACTACGATGTGTTATACTCCGAGCCAAAATGTCATGGCTCTGCGATGACCAGAAGCGCCATATCAAGCAGGTGAGTTTTTGACGTGTTGCTTCGCACTGCGACTTGAGTTTTACGACTTTCGAAAAATCAACTTCTTGTCGCAGGTAAACAGCGGCTCGCCTCTCGCCAATAAAGCACCGCATACCAATCAAAACTAATGGAAGTACACACAAGGCTTATTGTTACTCTGTACTGGCCGTCGTGGAGCGATAGCAATTACCTAATTTCAGACCCAGAGTGAATTTGACGTGCACTCTAAAACGTGGCCGGTTTGGAGCCACCTCTGATTTGAACTTTTTTGAAGCGAAAAATTGGGCAACTAACTTGGAGGCAATGGGTCAACACAAAGGAGTGGCTCAGTTCGATTGACTCTGGCCCCAGAGCAAACTTCAACATGCCAGTTTCCTTCCACAAACATATTTCGAGTGAAAATCAACGCTGATGATCGGTTTGGGTCTATCCAAATTTGGCTGTCAAAGCGTCCCGGTATCGAGCCGTCCCCTCTACTGGCCTTATGTAAAAATGATAGCAAGAGTAGATCTACTACATCATGTACATTAAAAAAAGTAAAGTAAATTATCGTATCCGTTCAACGTTCCCGAAGAGAACTCACGACGGCCGCTAACACCCGATAAACCCTAGCGGCAGATGCAGCGCCTAACGGTGGGGGTGAGTGGGTAAGTCTCACAACCACTGGCACAAGTGCCGAAAACGACCCCATTAGCTGCATCCATGTACCCCTTGTGCCTGGCCACAAGTTCCCAGTTGACTGTGGGTAGCAGCACGGCTGGAAAAACCGCTCCCAGGCAGGACTTGAACCAGGTACCTCTTGTATCTCAATCATGGTCTTTGACCAACCCACTGTGCCTGCCTGGTCTGTATAGCAATAAAAACTGCTTTACATGCATGTCATGCATGCATAGGAAAGAGGACCAGGAGGGGAAAAGGTCTTCTACATGTAGCTTTTCATTCTGTGTGTGATTATTGTGAGGTTTTGTGTGAAATTTTAATTTTCGGCTATCACATTTCGTTAATTTCTTACTTTTTAGACGGGGTCCATGGACTAGAACACAATAACTTTTTTTAGAAAACTGCCATAAAGCAGTTTTTATTGCTATAATTTCTTTTGTTTTTTCTGTCACCAATCAATGGAAAGCCCTATATCAATATGTAAATGATGACCTTCACATCATATCAATACCGTATTATACGCATTGATGTGCAAGGCTTTTCTTGCAGAAAATGGCACTAGCATGTTCTTCTGCGGGGAAACATGTGAGTAGTGGTGGACCGTGGTGATTCTTTTTTTTATTCGGAGGTCATTCTATGCATGTTGCTGTAGCAGAATTTCATGACTCTGTCATAAAATTGTCTTGCCTTTCTGATATTTCAGATTTCCCCACCCTCGATCAGATTTATTTGAGAAATCAACCAGGTGCGTGTCGCAGATGGTTTTGTTGATTCTGTGTTTATTATGGTTTATAATCATGGGTTATCGTGATAAGGACATCCTGCATCATATTGCACTGAAATGATAATCCTGTTGATGTCGATACAACCTTTTGAAGTAGTTCAATGACTTCAAACTGTTAGTCCACGATTTTCTAAAACAACACAGCAAAGGTGGAACAATAAACATGTATTAAAATGTAAACAAACACATTGCTGAGTCCGACACCTCGTTCCAACAACTACACTGATCCTGAGGATAAAAGGGGCAAGGCTATGTTTAGAGGTACTGAGAGATAAACAAGGCACCCCAGAATAATAAAATCTTACACATCTTTTGGTGAGTATGAATGATATCCAGTCGAACCTCTTTAGGACGAACACCAAGGGACCGATGGTATTTATTCTGTGAGTTTGTCTTAACCTATTTTATAACCAGTGAATACAATTATTTCTCCAATAGACATACGAATAGATTTCTTCTACAGCGAAAGATTCTAAGCCACACCAACTCATTGACTCGTCTCGTATGAAACAAATGAGTCACTAGAGAGGTTATGCAAAACGAAAATGCGTACAAACTTTCGTTCTACGTCATGAAGTGCCAAACTTCGCGACGAACTTTCGCAACTTTGGACGCGAAACTTGCAGGGAACGCGAAATGAACTGTCGTAGGAAATTTCGTGAGATTGGGTCATGGCGTACGTGCACTTGGCCCGCGCAAACTACGAAAATGTGCAGAAGGCAAAGTTCGTGCAAAAAATCGTACACACTTTCGCTAGGACTGTCGCGAAACTTCGTTCGAATTTTCGTTTTGCAGAACCTCTCTACTGAACGTTTCTTCTAAGGCCCTCTTCAGACTAGGTACAAAACAGCCTATAAGTCACATTTACATAGAAGTTTCCAGGACAACAACAAGAATCTGGCGGGAAGCCTAAAAAGCTGCCCAATCCTTTCAGGCAGGGTGCCAACCCTTGTACAAGGCAACTTTCCTGCATTTATCGTACTTTCATACATGTCACGTGCCTGTTGTCAGGTCGTTGCTAGCATTTGGCCAATCAGAGCAGCACCGTACCAGGGCATTATCAGATGATAATGCCCGGGTACGACGTACCCATGCCCATTAGGAATGACCCCAGGCGTACTACGTACGCTGGTGCACTGCCAAATATGCACCAAGCCATGCCTTTTGGGCAGTGACCTGGTACATAATTGGCAGCACTCCAGCGCACATAGAACACTTAGGACCATTCCTAAGGACACCACATGCACTCGCACACACCACACAAAACGAAACTACTTACGTGCACCGTCCAAAACAATTATATTTTACTAGCAATGTCGACATTGGAGAAGTAATTTATAACAACGTGACAATAACACACAGCATGTCATTACCATGCATTACTAAATTCAAGTCAATTGAGACGAACAAGTCGACAGGTGAACATGTATCACAAAGTTACCTATCTGGAAGAGATCAGATTGTATCTCGAACTCCTACAAAATATACAGTTACATGTACATGTACATGTACTTCAAATGTACCTAGCTACATGATTGTCCAGTGTACATAATGGACCTCAAGTAAACTGAAAGCAATGCGAACAAAATCTCAGATGTACATTTGTGTGAAAAGTATCATTGTTCCGAATAAGAACACTTACAATGTACTCTCAAAGCTAGTCTATTTACTAGTGCCACTTGGTCAAGCATGTTTGCGGCCAACGTTAACTCCAAAGCAGCAGCGAATCAGCTAACGTTCGTACCGCCCAACAGGCAACACTAACACCAAAATGCAAAGACATATTCCTGGAACTGCAAGTAAATCTGACACAAACCGTTCTATCATTCCACCGAGAAAGCTCCTTCCGATCTTGTTCGACCCTTCATACATATGACAGCTGATTGGAACCTTCCTCCTCCCTTGACCATGTTTACTTACTTGTCTACAACTAGGCACGTGCCATGTATGAACTATAATAAACACATGGTGCATCGTGCATTATGGCTGATTGTATGCCCTAGTGCGTAGCCCTCGGTCGTGCACCGTAGCCCGCGGGCCTGCGGCCCTTGGGCTACGGTGCACGACCTCGGGCTACGCACTAGGGCATAAATCAGCCATAATGCCCTCCGTACCATGTGTTATTATATACTTCACCAGGCAGTTGTACGAACTTTGTACCCGGGTACGACTGTCCGCTGCTTTCACACATCCCAGGCCCCTTGCGCAATTTCGTAGGGTCTAAGGTTGCCTGTATATTGCATGTAAAATGTGTAGTCTGAAAGCAGGCATGGAAAAATGTTGCCTTTTAGGTTTTATGTAATTTTGTACTGAATTTTCTATGTACGTAGTCTGATGAGGGCCTAAGGGCCGTTTCACACGAGGTACAAAATCGCGTACATGTCACGTTTCCGGTTATGTTCCCTAGGAGATGGAGCACTTTTGGCGCGAAATGTGAAACGCATCGTGTACGTTTTCAGCAAGACCAGGAGGGGTGTAGAAAGCAGGATATACCCAGCGTTCTACTGACAAACTTCGTTTTCCTTGCATTGTGATCTGTCGTCGTGTTTGCTTTTTTTTGCTTCTGTTTGCTTTCATTGCTGGTTGCTGGTTGTGCCTTTCGTTTCGGACAATAAATTAATAAATAAAATAAATTCGACGGGTTCGCGTACCGGGCAGGTCAAGAACAAGGAGTTGTACAACTCCCTGGTCAAGAACCACCTTTCCGCTTCCGTGGGACGCCACCACCCCATGATCAGGCGTCAGATGCGGCTCCTAAACGGTGGGGGAGGATAGATCAGATCCACCAACCATAGGCCAAAGGCCTAAATCCCATTTGCCACATCCATGATTTACTCATGCCAGGCCACGAGTTCCCAATTAACTGTGGGTCGCAGCACGGTTGGAAAAATCCTTCCGCTTCCAAGCAGGACTTGAACCTGGTACCTCTCGTTCATT